GCCTGCTCCCCCAACTCCCCTGATCAAGCCCCAGCCCTAGGGAGGGGCACTTTTGAGAAGCCCGGGCGTGGCGAGCCCCAGAGAGGGGACCATATTGAGTAGCCCAAGTTGGGCACGGTGAGCCCCAGAAGGGGGGGTCGCACTTCTGAGAAGCCCCAGTGCGGGTGTGGGAAGCCCCAGAGAAGGGGTACTACTGAGAAGCCCCAGGGCGGATGTGGCGAGCCCCTGTGGAAGGCAGAGTACTGTGGTAAACCCCGGAAAGGGCAGAGTACTGCGGTAAACCCCGGCAAGAGGGAGTAGTGGTGCGGTGAGCCCTGGAGAAAGGGGGTAGCAGTGCAGTGGGCCCAAGAGACAGATGGCTCAACCAGGAAGTCCCAGAGTGGGCGCAGAAGGCCCCAGGAAAGGGGCGACATTACAGGGAAGGCCCCAGAGAGGGCTTGGAGAGCCCAGGAGGGGGCCGCACAACAGAGAAGGACCGAGAGACAGGCATGAATACAGACAGAGACAGACCAACGTCTATCCCATCTGCGAGGCTTGGGGCGTGGTATCAGGGGTAGTTGGAGCCACGCATAGCCCATAAGGCTAGGGTGCCCCGAAGCACCCGTTTACAGGACAAGACCCACGAGGGGTCTGAATAAACATAGAGACGTGTCTGAGAGGGCGTAAGGCAGCCTCCCAACCAATTTAGACCATCAAAGACGTGGCAGGCGAGAAATAGAGGGTGCCCTTGGGCCAACTTGACACAGAGAGGGGGGCCTTAAGGAGATCACGGCCCTCCTGTAGGACCCTGCCGTGACACTCATCTTTCACAATTCAGGGTACAGACAGATATAAGAATTACACCAGTATGAGAATATGAGCTGTTACGATCTAAGTTATATCTGCATGAAAGATTTCTATTTGTAATTTTAATAACCATGCACTATTTGGAAGATTTGAAATTTGCCAAATTTCTGTACCTGTGGGGAAGCCAATAGGCCAGTTGACACCACTCCAGCAGCTGGATCTGGTCTATAGGTCAGGGGTGAAAGCCCCTGCTTTATTATAACCCATGGCTAAGCCAGACACAGCTTCTACTGTAATAAATATTGTCAAAGTATCACATTACCCATATAGCAACTTGCTATAATGTAAAAGTTTGTATGAAACATTGTCTTCTCTTTTCTTAGACTAACCTACACTACAAGGTTTTACTGGCAGACCTCCAGTAGTTGGGCTCTGCAATAAAGAAGGTTGGACACTGTGCTCCAATCTTTGTCAGCTCTCTCCAGTGCTTATATATAAATAGATGTCACCAAATAAAGCAAATCAGCTGTGCCAAGATGTGCCCCTGCACAGTTTATCTGCTTCATTTGGCAAGACACAAGTCAACTGTTGTCCTGCCTGTTAATCCTGAGGGACAAGAGACAATGTATTGAAAGCCAGCTCTGGTGAGGTTCTGGGGTTGAGATCGCCAAACTAGCCAATCCCAAGACCACACCAGGGTGTCAACATGCTCTCTCAGAATCCCAAATGGGGGATTCAGGCAGATGTTCCCAAGGCTTCAGGGGCCTTATTCCATGTATCCCTTGAATACAAATTCCTGGGGCATGCAGGATTAGGCCCCTGAAGCCCTGGGACTGCCTGTCTTAGGTGGCTGGAGAGCATGGGTAGCTCTGGGCTGCCCACACTCTCCCTCCTTAAAGCAAAGAGACATCAGCTGCAAAATAGCAGCACATAATCACACCACCTATGTTGCAACCACAAATTTTGGGCATTTGTGGCATGACAAGGGACATGGATATGTGGTCTGCTTGGCCTTATACAAGCGTTAAGTATTTTTATGGTGCACAAATGCAATGTCTGTTTACAACCTTATACAGGATTCCCTTGATTTATGTGGTACATGCGTTCCCGGAGAACAGCACATAACTCAAATATGCATAAAGCAAACCCACTTTATAATGTAAGAAATAGGGATAAGTTCCCATGATGGTGAGCGAGAGAGGCAATGAGGCTGGGACTAGGGAAGGGGTGCTGCTCCCAGGGCTGCACAAAGCAGCAAAGCAAAGGGAACAGAGCAGCACTCACCCGTCCCTGCTGCAGAAGCCCTGGGAGCCGCCAGCACCGCACTGTGCTCTGCCTGTCCTCCTGCGCCTGGGCTTTGCCTGTCCCCACTCACCCCAACTCCTGGGCTGCACCTCAGGAAAAAACAGCTGGTGTCAGCTCCCCCCATGGAAGAATTCAGTGGGGTAGAAGCAGGACACAAGCCTTCAGGTAACAGAGATCTTACTGTACATGGTACCCCTTGTTTCCAATCGGGATATTCAGTATTTGTTTGTCATCACTGTTATTTTTCTCTGAGTAGTTGATAATGGCTCCCAGAAGGTTTTGCTTGTAGCCACTGTATTTGCAGCAGATATTAAGTGTCATTTTGGGGTTTAGGGGCAAAGACTGTTGCTGGAGCCAGAACCAGAGATCAGACATGCATATCAATTCCTGGGCAATTCAGCTTTTCAAAGGGGGTAGGGGGAAGGCAAATCTTTCTCCACTTGTGAAATTTCACCCTTGTGTACAGAAGAACTCTTGGGGGAGGCCACCCTCAGAGGCAAGCTTGGGATGTCTTCTACAGATATAAGACTAAATAAGGGAAAACCAAGGAAAAGGTTACAAGAACAGAAGGAGAGCAGGAAAAGTTTACTGATACCTCTATTAGTAAAAATGGAATTGGGAATAGGAACAAAATTTCTTTCCTGCGCCTTGGTTCTTTTTAACTTGGGTTCATTAAATTTTTAACAGTAAAGGACCTTACGAATCAGATAATTTTGTCATCTTGACAATATAAATGGAGCATCTGGAATTAAAAGCAGCCAAAAGGAATGCATTTACTTACCAACAGCCTTACTTTTACACCATATAATTAATCGAGTGAGGTGTGGAAAAAAGATAACCAGTCCAAGCAGCACATAAGACTACACAAAGAAATGAAAACAATTTTAACTTTTAATTACTGTGAGGTAAATTTTTGAACCAAAGTTAAAATTGCACAGTTTGTTATCTTTCATGGATGAAGTATTACAGATCAGAAGCTGTAACCAGGAATTTACAACACTGAATAGATCAGATTAAAATGGAAAACTATACATTTTAGGACAGTAACAAAATTCAGACAAACTGATTGATTAAAGCAAAAAAAAAAAGTAGTTAGCCAAATACACATCCACTACAACTCAAGGAATACAAATACTCAAGACTAATCTGCATTATGAACACACTCTAATGCTGCCTTCCTATAATTCAATATTTGTAAATAGGAATTTCTGAGATTGGAAGAAAACTTATCATTCTCTTAGGACTGTGGCCCAAAAGTTTAATCCCCATTTTTATGGAACTGATGAAGTTATTAGGAAGTCATGTGCTTCCTAGTGCTACCTGCAATGATATGGGTACCATGGCAAAGGAAATTCTCCTTTTGTCATGTCCTTTACTATTCAATTAGGTCAACAAAGTTCATAGACCTAGATAGAACTGTATCGTCTCTCTCAGACGAGTCAGTCACATCAAAGAAAATGGGTTATAAAAAAAGTCTTTTAGATTCACTACTCTGGATTTTATCATTTAAATATAAACTGAAATATTTCTAAATAGAATCTCAGAGAAGTAGGGCTAAAAGGGAACTTCAGAGATCATTTAGTCCCACCCCTTGCCAGAGGCAGGATCATCCCTTCCAAGCCTTCCCATACAAATCTATTGTGTGTAGCAAAACTACACAGTCAACCCTGACATGATATCCTAACCTGCCACAGGTAAAGCAGAGAGACCATGCTGCCCAATGTCCTGCTGCTGCAAAAGCTGTTAATGTAACGCTGTTAATATGCGTTCAAGAGATCCCAGGAAGAGGGCCACAGCCCCTGCTACAGAGGAAGGCAAGAACTCCCACAGTCCATAACAATCTGAACATGGGATAAAATTATGTTTAAAAAACAGGCTTACTAAATTTAACAGATTCCTAACAAGGAATACCTATGAACAACTGTTTTTAAAAAAAACTGAAATGCTTCAAAGTCCTACCATTTCTGACCCACAGGGTCAAACTCACGCATGTAAAAGGTTACTGTAAGATCTATGTATCAAATCAGAACTCTGAGTAGTATATAAAAATGTCCTAAGTAGTGTATAAGTTTTGTGGTGGCTCTCAGGCAGGAGTCTAGGGAATCCTTGGGGCTTGGGCATTTATACACATACATTTGCCTGCTCTGCTCCACTGAAGATCCAGGGTGTTGGAGCAGACTTGATTAATCAAGTCTGCTCCACATGCAAGCTGATGCACCCAGTGCTGCGTTGCATACATTTGTATAAATGGCAAAATGTGCATCAGCGCTGACAAAACAGCAGTGGTGCGCTTTTGATCTAAAGCACCTTCGATGTGCTTTAAAAGCACCTGGTGCTGTGGCGCAAACATGTACAAATGCCCCTCATTACTTGTAAAGAATTTCAGGATCCAGATCACCTCCATACAATGACTGAGGGCTGTTTCTATGGAACTTGAGAGCTGGAGGAACTCAATTTAATTAATTCTTTTCCATTTAGTGAGAATGTAGTAGGAGCTAACTATAAGTGACTGAGATTTATATGCAAATCTGTTAATTAGCTGCTGACTGATCTACTTACTACAAACTTCTTGTGTCCCATTTGTAAACTATTTGTAGGCTTTTTAGCCTGTTTATATAATCAGTAATTTATTTCACCCAGCCTCATTCATTATTTTTGTTTCACTTGTTTACAATCAGCAAGCTTCCAGTTTAGAGTGTATAGTTATGAAAAGATCTGCTTTTGAAGGGACATTATGAAGGGACTCTTATAAAGCTCTACTAAACATTATAAGAGTCTGTCCCAGACTGAGGCGCTAAAGTGAACAGATGCAGGTAGTGGAATAACATTTTTTCCATCACCTAACAGTGCTTGTGGGTGATGTCCATGCTACTCCGTGCAGCTTTTACTGCAAAATGGTGGTGCTGATTTAGCTATGTTCCAGCTGGCAACCAAAAAAAATTTAATTAATAGCCTGGAAATCCTGTGACATGGAACTATGGACATTTGACAGAGAAAAGATTTCAGATAATCTATTATCTGGGTTCCTAACTGAAGAATTCCAAACAGATTTAGTGGGTTGATGGAAGTGGGGAATTTAATGCTTTTCGGGTATAACATAGGGCTACAGTTTGGGCAGGGATGAGAACTACAGGACTTCTGCTGCTTAGAAGCATTCCCTGTTTTAAAGACATCTGGTATTTTGTGCAGAGTATTTTAAAATATCCTTACTGATAAGACAGAAGCTGCTATATTATACAACGAAGTTACAGGCTTCATAAAAATAAATTAAAAGGGAGACGTACTGGAAACAATATTAAATGTGACTATTGAAGACTGTCAGGTCATATCTTCAGACATAACAAGTTTATTGGAAAAATGGTTATTGAAGGAACTTACCAGAGGAATAAAGAAGAAGGAGAAGATGGCAGCTAAGAAGCACAAGGCTGGTCCTCTTAGAATAATCTTTAAGATATGATGTTTGTAGAAGGTTTGGTTTTCAGACACCTGTATCTGGTGGTTCAATAAGTATGGATGATAAAATCCATATGCTACTATAACTGCCTGTAGGGATGAAAAAAAATATTGATGCCGATATGTGGACAGCTAAGTAAATCAAAGCTGAAAGTCTAAAATGGGACCTAAATATCAGAAACCCCAATCCCTGGTGGTTCATAAACCGTTTTGACTTGTACTTTAATAGCAGTACTTCAGTCCAGTTTTTTCTAACCCTGTATTTGATTTATCAAATCATGGGTTTCCCACTGGTATAATGTTGAAGTCCAGCCATAATGCTGTCATTAAAAACTGCTATTCTCTTGTATTTAAATAGCTAAACATTAAATGAATCCCTTTGCCAATATTACATCTACTCAACCAAATACTGAACAGCTACTGAAAACCCGGAAGAAAAGTAAAGTAAACAAACAAACAAAAAAATCACAATGTTGTCCATTACTTACTAATTATCTACCTTTCTGAGTCCATTTATAGAGAGAGCTACATTCCAAATAAATCATGATTCAATTCAAGGATTTTAAGCCTTCTGATTTGGTTGATCTCTATTAGTTTATCAAGTGCATTAGGTTTTCTATGCTACAAAATAACAAGGATAACTTGGGTATTAGCAATACAATAATCATGCGCCCTAACAGTTGCCTGAGATACCAATCTTTAAAATGGCAATGTGATAATCTGACATTAAGTTTACCTAGCATTCTAAAATCCAATATTAATACACTTAATTTTAGCTTCAGATAAGAAAAATCATGTCTCTAATGCTGAAAGAAAAGAGTAAACAAATGACTCCCATACCTGGATAAGACCAATGATAACAGCACAAGTGCTAAACATGAAAATACCAAAAGGTACACCAGGAAAGGAGGCCATTAAGGAAAACTAGAAGAAAAATACAAGTGGGTTAAATATTTTATTAAAATACAATTTCAGAAGGAAAACAGAAATGAAAGGTAAAATTAGTAGGTTCCCCATTTATCTCAAACCTTGAATATCCAAAAAAGACAATTCTACTGACATTACCTTATAGCAGCAAGTAAATACAAATCACATAATCATGGCTTTCACAAATTTGGGGTGTTTTTGGAGTTGATGTCATAAAGGTGGCCCAGTGCTAAGGATCATTCAGACTGGCATTGAGCCACAATCCTGAAATGTGTTTGATGCCAACAGACCCCAGCACCTGCACAGCACTCACTGCTAGGACAGGCACCACAGTTCCTAGAGTTCTCACTATGACTGCCATGTCAGTTCTATCATGTTGGGCTAGGTAGGCATATACGATGAGAAAAATACATTAGAGAAACTGAAAAAGTGTTAAGAAATACCAGCAATAAGGTTGCCTCTGCAACTTTACTTCCTCATGTGTATACATTATGATAAAGTATTTCTACGAAAAGCTGATCTTATTCTATGTACAGTGTTGGCATTGGAATTATGACCCAGATTTCTTCTGGGCAGACCCAAACCCTTAGACTGACCGTCTAAGTCAGCATATTCCTTTGTTTCACAAGCCCGCATCCTAATTTGAGCTTCCCAGGTCTTTTCCTAATTTGGTCTGTTCCCCCAAAACTGGAACTCTCAGGCTCCCCGCCCTGGTGCCACCTTATCTCATGTTATGGAACAGTGTGGTAAATGTCCAAAACTTTCCAGGCTATGTGTACAGTATATCTGTTGGCCTTGTTGCTTCCTTGGGTTTGACATCCTGTCTGCCTTGAAGGCTATGAAATTGGGTGACAACCAGGCCTTTAGAAATCAATTAACTCTTTCCACTGCCCTGAACCATTATTCCAATCCATATATATTTTACCTACAAGCCAATTCCCAAAACCAATCTTCTAAATACCATGTTCTAGCCATCGTACAGGAGAGGTGATGCTCACTTCTTTTTTTCTCATCAATATGACCTAGTCTGTGTTCAAAAATTTTTGTTGTCTGTCTAGCATTCAAACCCTGCCCTGAAAATGGAATAATTAATTTCCTTATCAGTATTTCTCAACAACTGAAACATAAGAATTGCCATACTTCAGCGCACCAAAGACTCATTTATCCAGTACTGTGAATCTGACAGTGGCCCATATCAGATGCTTCAGAGATCAAATAATATACTCTTACATTAGGTACCATTCTGCTCTAAGAAACTTGCTTGAACCCTGAAGCCCAATGCATAATATCCCTTCCACAACAATTAACCTAGTTTCATAGTTGGTAGGGTCGGAAGGGACCTGAGCAGATCAGAGTCCGACCCCCTGCCATGGCAGGAAAGAGGACTGGGGGCAAAATTACTGGGGTCAAACGACCCTGGCAAGGTGTTCATCTAGCCTCCTCTTAAAGACCCCCAGGGTAGGAGCCAGCACCACTTCTCTTGGAAGTTGGTTCCACATCCTAGCCGCCCTGACTGTGAAGTAGCGCCTCCTGATGTCTAGTCTGAATCTACCCTCTGCCAGCTTGTGACCGTTATTTCTAGTCACTCCTGGTAGTGCTCAGGGGAACAGGGACTCCCCCCAATGCCTGCTGGTCCTGCCTGACTAGTTTGTAAATGGCCACTAGATCCCCCCTCAGCCTTCTCTTGTGGAGGCTGAACAGGTTCAGGTCCCTTAGGCTCTCCTTGTAGGGCCTGCCCTGCTGCCCCCGATCATGCGGGTGGCCCTCCTCTGGGCCCTCTCAATGTTGTCCACATCCCTCCTAAAGTGCGGCGTCCAGAACTGGATGCAGTACTCCAACTGCGGCCTGACCAGTGTCGCATAGACGGGAAGGATCACCTCCTTGGACCTGCTCGAGATGCATCTGTGGATGCATGACAAGGTGCGGTTTGCTTTCCTGAGCATGTCCCCACACTGTTGGCCCATGTTCATTTTGGCATCAATAATGACTCCAAGATCCTTTTCTGCCTCTGCACTGACAAGAAGGAAATTCTCCAGCCTGTAGGTATGCTGCTGGTTCTTCCCCCCAGGTGCATTACCCTGCACTTGTCAGTGTTGAAACCCATCCTGTTCTTATCCGCCCACCCCTAGAACCTGTCTAGGTCTGACTGCAGCCTATTCCTCCCTTCTAGCGTGCCCACATCCCCCCACAGTTCTAACTCTTAATATAAGATAACTATGTTCTTGGCCTCAGTGACTTCTTATGGCAGCTGGTTTAACAGGCTAAATTACATGTTATGTGAAAAGTACCTAGGACCAAATTAAGATTCCACTTTAACCATGGCATTTTCTAACCTGAGTCCTAGCCTCTGCAAACATACTTTTTAATTTTTTTATTGTAGCAAATTATTATAACGCTAACAAAACAAACTTCAAGTTACACAGTGGAACTCTGCCAGCCTGCAAGGGAAAACATGCAGTTTCCCACATTTTTCTCCTTTAAAAGGAGAAAATTTGCGTTTCTCCATGGTAAATGGAAAACCCAGATCTCTGCTCATCAGACAGTCAGCCACACTTGCAACAACTGTGGCAGTACTAGAGTAGTCAACAGAGGGAATAACAATCTTCCATTAACATTTAACATGTCATGGGGAGTCAATCAGGGAACAGTCTTTACAGGCTTCTGTGAGACTCACACTGCCACCTCCCACCTGTGGTGAAAACGGCATCTAGATGTCCTACTTACGAAACTGTTTACAGCAAAACACCCTCACACTGAGTTCCCCAAAGTGTTCCCCACAAGAACTGCAGGCTAGGACTTGGCCCACATAGCCTCTTAGGTCACACACAGCTGCACCAATCCCTTATACGCAGGATTGTTGATACCCTGGATCCTAAATTCATCTCAGTGACTTGAAGGGAAGCATGATCCAGTTGTTACAAGCCCTTCTGCCTACCTATATCTGTCATTCTCTTTTTCCCTCCTCTGACCTCAATTAAATGTTCAATCAATCAATCAGCTTGAGACAGACACCCAGCACGTGAAGATTTTGGTTCAAAATGTTATAGGCTGGCAGAGTTTTAAACAACAAAATACAGGTTCTTATAACCCCCAAAAATGTTAGATCTCATCAGCTAGGGGCACTAGTACCAGATCTGCCTATAGTTTTACAAGAAAGGTTGTTAACATTAAAACAGAAGTTTCAGATATTCAATAGCTGAAAAACATCAGCACTGGTGTTTCTTGAGCATTATAGACTTGAGTTTTAAAAGCCCTATTTCACTTATGCCAAGTTGTGGTAAGACAACTTAAGCACTTGTAAAACAGCTATCTTTGTTTAAAAATACATATGATGTTACTTTCTCAGATTGCCTTTTTCTCCTGAAGAAAATTCACTTTTCATATGTTGACCTTCAAAGAGTATCAGAAATGTAATGCTTATACATGGCAATAGGGTCAGGCTTCATGATATTACAATGTTCTCTGGGTGTTCTGAATACTTTGGTTAAATAATATTTGTTTTAAATTAAAACAGTTTTGTTAAACATGAAAAGAAATGCAGTTTACTTACTGTGTATGGCAAGAAAGTTATAAGCATCATACATGCCTAGAAAAAGGAAAAAATAAAACTGAAACACAAACTAAGCAGCATCGTACCAGTCCATCACTGCACATCTTCCTAGATACTACATTAACGAATACTGTATTTAATTGAACACGAGATAAGGTTTCCACCCCGCTCCCCCCACCCCAGTCAACATGGTAGGGGAAAAAAAACAACCCTTGGCTTAGATATGAGTGTGAACCTGGAGCAAGAGGTGGTTCAGCTCCAGCTTTACCGCCTGCCCTGGTCTGGGGTAGCTTGTGAGTTTGGAGAGGAGGCCTACAGTAGAGGAAACAGGGTGCAGCTTGAGGGGAGTGCAGGGGCAGATAATGCAGTATGCTCCCCTAGCCACCTATCCCCCTGCCACTTAACTTTAGCTCCAGCTCTGGTCCCAACCCCAGCTGGGCCCAAAGCTACTATTGCTTGTGCCTGGCTGGAGCCAGGGCTCCTGTTGCTAACTGCCCTAGAGCCAGAGTCAGAGCTGCCGCAGAAGCTAAGCAGCGGCAGCAGAGCGCAGGCAGCAGGAGAACAGGCACAGTGGGCATGGGAGGAGATAAGAAGATAGGCAAAGGGACAAGCATGGAGCAGGGGAAGGTGGACAAGGGGTAAGGTCTAGCCCAGGGAGGGGCAAAATGCAGCCCAGGGGCCGGATGTGGCCTGCCAGGCCATTCTATCTGGCCCACAGGGCCCCTAAAAAATTTAGAAAATTAATATTTATCTGCCCTGGGCTGCCTGTCATGCGGCCTGCCACGGCAGGGTCCTCCAGGAGGGCCGTGATCTCCTTAAGGCCCCTCTCCGCGCCAAGTCGGCCCAAGGACACCCTCTAATTCTCGCCTGCCACGTCTTTGATGGTTAGATAAGGTTGGGAGGCTACCTCACGTGTCCTTGGGCATGGTTAGTTGGGACCTCTATCCCCGTGTTTTCCCGGACCCACCGGGGGTCTCCCTGTATGATAGGTGCTTCCCAGGCACCCTAGCCTTATGGGCTACGTGTGGCTCCAACCACCCCTGATACCACGTCCCAAGCCTCACAGATGGGATGGACGTTGTTCGGTCCCTCTCTATATGTACATTGCCCGTCTCTCGGACCTCCTCTATGCACTCGCCCACTCTCTGGGGCTTCCTGTGTACACTTGCCCGCTCTCTGGGGCCTCCTCTGTTGTGCTGCCCCCTCTTGGGCTCTCCGAGCCCACTCGGGGCCTCCCTGTAATGTCGCCCCTCTCTGGGACCCTTCGTAATAGCGCCCCCGCCTGGGCCTGCTACGCCCGCGCTGGGCCTTCCTGATAATGCCCCCTTTCTGGGGCCCTCCCTGTACCCACACTCGGGCTTCTAAATGTTGCCCCCTGTCTGGGGCTTTCTGCGCCCCCTCTGGGGACTTCTCGGCTACGCCCCCTGACTCTCGGGCCCACCGCACTGCTACCCCCTTTTCCCAGGGCTCACCGCACTACTACCCCCTCTTGCCGGGGTTCACCACAGTACTCTGCCCTTCTCTGGGGTTTACTGCAGCACTAGGCCTTCCTCAGGGCTCGCCGCGCCCACCCTGGGGCTTCTCAGTAGTACCCCTTTCTCTGGGGCTCACTGGGCCCACTGGGGCTTCCTAATAATACTGCCCCCTCTCTGGGGCTCGCTGTGTCCACGCTGGGCTTCCTCAAATGCCCCTCTCTGGGGCTGGGGTCTAAGCACCCCGTAAGCGGCGGCGCCCTAACTGGCGCTGGGGCCCCCATGCCGCTGTCGGTCCCTATGAGTATGCTGCGCCCTCACTGGTGCCGGGGTCCTCACACTTCGTTGCGAGTCCCCAGTGAGTACACTGCACCCTCCCTAGCGCCAGGGTTCCCACACCGCCGGGGGGTCCCCCTGAGAATACTGCGCCCTCACTGGCGCTAGGGCCCCACACCCCTGTGGGTCCCTAGAGTAGGTTGCGCCCGCACTGGCACCGGGGTCCCCACTTTACCGTGAGCCCCCTATGAGGCCTCCTCCAACCCCTAATAGCCTCACCCAAACCACCGGTGTAATATCATAACAACACAAACTCGAGCCTCCTGGCTATAACTCAAACACACACCCTATGGCTATAACAACATTGCTCAACTCTGACCGAGCGGTACTTGCTGTTAGGCTTCTCCTCGCATCCTAACTCCAGGAGCTCCTGCCCCTCTAGCCTCAGCCCTGGGCTTTATAAGGGCCAGGCCTTGCCCCTTCCGGCCAGCTGACTTCCTGGTTGCCCCGGGCAACCCGCAGCTGTGCTCGTTAGGTCCTGCCAGGGCTCTCTCCCTGGCAGTTTCCACTCCCCAGGAGCAGAGCACCAAGGTGTCCTGCGACATGGCCCTCGATGGCTTGCCAAAACTCAGTAAGTGGCACTCTGGCCAAAATAATCGCCTGCCCCGGTCTAGCCCCTCCCCCCTCGCTGATGCTTTCCCCAACATAATGGTGTGGGGGAGGGGAAGGGTGGGACTAGAAATTCGAGATGACCTGCAGTAATTAGAATCTAAACACGGAACATTTATACATTTTATAAATTTATACATTTTCCACATACAGAACCTATTTACTGGGGGTCATCTTAAATTCAGTCATCTTGGATCCATGTAAATACAGCAAGCATTTCTACTGCTCCAAAAACTTGTGTTTGAAAAACTGCTGATTGTTCCCAGCAGACAATTGTCAACTATGGAGCAGATTATAGTGCTAAAGGTGAGGTTACATTTTTGAGTTTGCAAGTGCAAACTGTAACGTGCACTGCTCAGACTTGTCATTACAAGGCTGGTGAGTAGGGATGCATCTGAGCCCTGTCACTTGGGCTCACTGTTTTCTGGGTCTTGGGGGAGCAGTGTTCCTAGAACTGGAGCAGTGTGCCAGGAGATGGAAAAACATGGACGTGGGGCATAGATGTTTTTATGTAAAGGTTAGTTGTTTAAAAGCATTTTACTTGATTGAATTTAAATATAAGAAATAAAGAAAGATAAGACTAGACTCTCACTTGTTCCAATAAATTGTGGGTGGTGGGAGCCGTTCCAGCCAGCTGCTGAGCTCCCTGTTGCCTCTGGGGAAACTGGGGAGAACTCTGGCTAGCAGGCTCCAAGGAGAGGGCTAAGGGGGGAACTAGGGCTGGCAAACAGAAACTTCACCAGTTGCTGGCTGACAACCCCCAGGCCAACCCAGGGAATAGGGCTCAAGCCTTGGCCAAGTCCAGTAGCACCTCCCTTCCTGTCATATTTCCAGATGCTGCTTCAGGTTTAAAGGGACACTGTCTTCCCTCAGCAAGTGGGTGGCTGCAGTTTCTCAGGCAAGTGGGGGCATGCAGTACAGGCTGCTGGGGGTGGGTTGCTGAGGAGCCCCCAGCCTCCACAGTTCTCTGATGGGGCTTGCTAGCTGCTGTACAGTTCAGGAAGATGGACCATTTGTTCTTGGAGCAGAAGAATACATAGAAGGCTGGGAAGGGTGCATCCATCTTTTTTTATTTCTTGTATTTCAATGCTGGAGGACTCCAAAATGGTCATTTTATGTCAGTGGAATGCTCAGAACCTTGCTTAAAACTAGCTAGTTAACACCAAACAATCCTAATCCTCCCCTGAAGTGGTATAACTTTAAAATGCCTGAAGGGTGCTTAGCACTAGTTAATTAGCCTGAACATGGAATCTTTCAAATTTTAAGCAATCTTAATAAGAGCTAACTGCAAATGTACTCTCATAAGAGTTTACAAAGCCACACTACTGACCTTTCAGCCTTGACACTTCCACATCTGATCATATAGTTTGCTTTTAGAAGTGTTAGCATGCTTCCCATTATTAGTTTTGACACATACATTTTTAACTTTATCACAGAGACACATTTTATTTATGTTTTTTACTTCCCTTCTTAGCCACTTTTAAAAGGAGTAACGCTAAAAGATTGGCATGTTCCCCTTTTGCAAATACAGCAAAATACGTGTGGCGGCCCTCCACTCAAACCCCACATCCTCCCATCATATATGCAGCGTGCCCAGATGCCAAACAGGATGAGGCCTGCTGGCAGGAGCTGTGGTTGCAGGGGCAGCTGTCCCCACATCCTAGTTAGTGAAGGGGTCAGGGGGAGCTCTAATTTTTCTACAACAAGAAAACCTAAAGCAAACATCAAAAGCATCAAAGCATACAGATATTTAGAATTTATGATGATGATAGAGGCACTGGTAGGCTTCCAAATTGCTTTAAAATTGTAAATATATCAAAAAAACATTACCCAAGTGATCAAGAGAGGTGGTGTATGTGTGTGTACTGCCCCAAATAGCCAGGAGGTCAGCCACCTCATTTGCCCACCATCTGGGTCCCGGGTGCCAATCTTAAGCTGGCTCCTCTTCCTGGGTCCTGCCACTTGCCTCACTAGCAGGAATCCTGGTGCTCCTTATTTAAAAACTATGATTTCTCTGTTAAAATCCCAAATTCACACTGAGGTTAGGCTCAGAGAAAAGTTGGAATAATCTGTTTACCTGAGCCTGCATAAAATGAACTGTTCCAAACAGAAGATTTTACCACACCTTTAACTCTCCTATGAAATATGAACTTTCATTTCTACCTAGGAGAACTTCTACAATCTTTTCTCCTGTGCCTGAAGAAGGATGCTTGTGCCCCAAAGCTTGCAATTAAATAATTTTTTTTTTTGCAAAAATCTAGTTCATCTAATAAAAGATACCATCTCTACCACAAATTCTGATTCCTTTTGCTTCTAGATCAATACAGCTAAAACCTGGATACCTGACAGCAACTGCCAGGCTCCCCAGCCTGCCTGCATGGCCCGGGGAGCAGTGGGTGGGGCTTGGGGGTGGGGAGCTGCAGGGCTCCACTCACCTGAGCAGCAGCAGCAGCAAGGAGCCTCACCTGCCTGCCTGCAGAGCTGCCTGCAAGACAGGGGCTGTGGGGCTGCATGGGGCAGGCCTTCCCCCATCCTTCCTCAGGACTTGCCTCAGCCCTGGGGAACTGAGGCAGCTCCTCCCCACTCTGGGTTGCACTGGGCAGAACCCCTGAAACCTGCTGGTGCTCCACCAGGGGGTTGTGGCCCTCTGGTTGAGAATTGATGCTTTACAACACACTCTAGGCATAGTCCCTCTTGATCATGGCTTCAAACTGTAGCAGAGGAAATTTAGGTTGGAGATTAGAAGGAACTTTCTGACTATGAGGGCAGTGAAGCACTGGAACAGGCCACCTAGAGAAGCTGCAGAATGTCCTTTCCTAAAAATTTTCAAGAGAATGTGAGAAAGACATTTGGCCAGATAGGTTTGGTCAGGGATGTTCCTGCCTTGAGTAGAGGGCTAGACTGACTGGATGACCTAATGAGGTTATTTCTAGCCCTACTTTCCTATGATCCCATGATCCCCAACCAACACTTATCCAACCTTGTCTTGAAAACCTCCAATGAAGAGATTTCACAAGTTTCCTGGACTCTATCCTACTGTCTAACTGCTCTAACAGTGAAGAATTTACCACTTCTGCCATTAGAGGGCCAAATTATCATACATATTTACCATGGTAATATACCTATTAGAGTAACATTTTAAAAATGAAACTTCGAACATGCTACAACGAACCAATATTTTTTAAAGTATTTTTAAAATTGAAATTAAGGCTTAGGATGATAAACGTAAAGCTCCTGAAAATGATTCTGGGACAGGTTATGTCACTGGTAGTTTTTAAAACATTATACAATTAATCTTATGTTTCAAGTATATTATAATACTTGATTTTGAAAATACTAATTATGAATAGAGCTGAAGCCATAAACTGCAATCCAAAATGAGCCTCCAGGCTTGGGACAAAATGAAATCCCAAATTTGTATCTTGGACTCATTTCTTTCACTTGGCACAAGTCCAGCCAGTACATAGACCCTTTCTTTCAGAACTGCTACAAGAACTACCTCAGACGAATGAACTTTTATTAGTAAATTTTCCTTCAGCTTATGGCTGGACAAATTAAATCTACTTTCAGTTGATAGTTTACCTTAGCAAAAAAGGGGGAAAAAAATCAAGCTGTAAGATTCTTTGTTGCCCTGCTTAATCAAGTTAGACCACTCAAATTAAGAGTAAAAGACTCTATTCTCACTGTGTGGATAAAAACATAACAAGAGTTGTAGTTGCATCAGCCAGTGGTGATGTGTAGGGGGTGCACGGAAAGTACCCCTGAGAGCACTGGTGCACCCCCTGACAGGCTGCGCTCCCTGCTTAGGCAATGGGCGGGGAGGGGCAGTAGACAGGCATGCCAGCGTTCCCCCTGCAAGCACTGGCCAGGAAGTGTGGGTGCCAGGTGAAGTACCACTGGCACCGATCCCCCCCCACTCCTGTTGGCGTGATCGGCCGTGGGGGTCCCCCTTCTCCCCCGGGGCAGCAAGATTGGTTGCTGGGGGGGGACGGGACACGGACATATGCTCCCCCTGACTCAGCTGGCACCAGTCACCCATAGTATCAGCAATCTTTTTAAAATCAATACCAACTCTGCATGATGGACTCACCAAATTTAGAAGAGCCACGACATCATCTATGAGTTCAATCACCTGAAAAAGTCTGCAAAAACAAGACAAAAAGGCAAACTAACACCCAAAAACATGAACTTCTAATACTGTATAGCAAATTTATTTCCCCTGCTTAGCAATTTATACCAGTAGTGTAAGGACGAATGAGCAAGAGAAGCACAAGCCTCAGGCACTTTCTAAAAGAAGGTGGGGACGCACTGAAATAGAACTACAATCATGTCTCACTTTGGTCCTTGTTCTTCTCTGAAATGGCTCTAGCTCTGGCAGTAGGGAGGAAAAGAGTTTTGCTGATGCTGGGAGAAATGCCACCCTTTTTTGTTGCTTAAAACCAGTATTTTTTTGATTGCTTGACACACAACCTATGGCCCACAAACTGGATCCAGCCCCAAAGAGATCCAGTGCAGCACAAGGGTGGCATGGAGTATCTGAATTTAAACTTGCTGCAGAGGGGCCAAGGAGCTGCAGCAAGGGAAGCACAGTGGAACAGAGTGAATGTAGGCAGGTGCCTGATGGGGGGAGAAGGGGGAGGACCTTTGTCCTGCAGCTACAGCAGGTCACAAACTCCAGCCCATGCTGGCAAAAGGCTGCCAACCCATGTACTAGATAAAGAGAATTAAGAAAAACAAGAAGTTGAATTAAATTCTCTATAAAACTGCTGTTTAGTTACTGTATGTATGTATAGTATGTCATTGAGAATTAGAAAAATATCTCAGCGGAAAAAAATAACAGAGCTACTTTTATCACACAGCAATAAGTCAATTATGGCTCTCTGTCCTCAGTAGTACTCAACCAAAACAAACAGGTTTTAATATAACAGACTTGGAAGTAGCCCAAATAGCCCTCAGTAGGTAAGGCGATACAAATATTCAACAGAAGTCTGCTTGTTCGTTTCCTTTTAACAAAGCATGTTGCGAAGGGAGGTGTGTGCACAGTAAAATCCATGGCTCTATAAAATGCAGTCTCTACAATCACATGCTTACTTTAGGGGAAATACAATCGGAGAAGGAAGTGTTACTAATCAGAAAAGGCAAGCTTGGAATCAGTTTTGCTATGTAAATTCTGTAAGTGCATGTGGTAGAATTTTAGGAATTACATTAAGTATTGCAAGTGACAAGCATGTGTATCTTTCAGTATATCACTAACAGTGGGATTTTACCTATGTGTACAATACTTGTTTTTATTTATTTCACTGATCCTGTGTGCTGAGCAGTAGGGTTGTGCGAAACAGCAGTGTTGTTTTGACCAGTGTTTTGACGGAAAAGCATTTTGTTTTGAATTTTGTTTTGATTTGAAACAGCTGTTCTGTTCTGTCAAAACAGGGTCAAAATGGCAAAACTGTTTCAATGTTTCACCTATAGGATATAATGAGGAAGGTCAAAACAGCCTATAACTTTGTCATTTCTGGCCTGATTTGGATGAAACTTGCATGAAACTTGAAACGAATTTTGCCTATCAGCAGCTATGGGTGCAGGGCCCCAGAACCCCTGCACCTATCTCTTTGACAGCTGGCAGGCTTCGTGGCCACAGCAGGGGCTAGCAGGCCTGCAGCTTTCACCCTGTTGCTCCTTAACACACACACACACACACACACACACACACACACAGTCACCAATGTCACGAGTTTTGCTTGTCCACAGCTTGAGGTACAGTTTCCCCCAAACCCCTGCACCTATCTCCTTGAAACTTGGCAGGTTTCGTGGCCTCCACAGGGGCTAGCATGCCTGCAGGTTTGACCCCACCGTGGCTTAACACATACACGTGATAAAAGTTTTGCTTTCAAGACTTTGGGGTGCAAAGTTTGCAGTAACTTTAAAACCTTCAAAAGAGATGGATTATTGTTAAATTTTAATTTTCTTTGGGTGTAATAAAGATATTCTTTATACTGAGTCTCTTCATGTAATTGTTTAGAAAAACTAGACTAAGGCTCTCTTGTCATTACTAGTAAAATCTAACTCTCACTTTAACTTCTGAAAATAAAATAACTATTTTTGTGACAGAATGCAGCGCTACAGGTTTTCATACCTGACATGTGCTGTCCAGGCCACAGTTACTATTAAAAACGTCATCAGGTATACTGCAATTTTTGTTAGAAGCTGCTGCTGAACACTTTCACCCAGTTCCTGAAATAAAATATAACAACATTCATAGGAAAAAAAACCCCAAAGCATGTAATTTCAAATATTGAAATAAGACATATTATTTTCCGAAATTACTAGCAATAACTGTAAATAGGTGGTAGCTACAGAATATATTTTTTGGAATGATACCTTGCACATGAAAATAAACATTTCTTCCAGCAATCCGTTTTCCCCCCAAAGGTATTAGCTAGACATTATCAGATAACCAAAGAAATAGTTTGCAAGCATTCTGGATTGTCTACATTAATTAGCTAAGTGATTGCATAAAACATGACACAATATGCTATGCCAAATTAAGATGAACCATTGTGAAACAAGTATGTAAACTATTTGTACTGCTATTTTTTTAAGAGCAAGAGAGATCATTTGTCTTCAAATATAAAAACACAACTATGAATTAGGTTGGCATGTTCAAGACCACAGGCAAATCAATGATTTTGTGCCTTCAATTCTATGCTGTTAAATGAGGACAAATGTATTTTTTAAGTTCTCTGCAACCTAGGATAACAAGTGCTACAATATTAACTCCACAGATGCAACCCTGTTAAGTGTCCCAAGGAAACTAAAGACATCTTAAGTTTAACAAACAAAAGTCTATTTCATAAGAACATTCCAGATTATTTAAGTAATGACTTCATAGTATACAGAAAATACCAGGAGTGCACTGATAGAGATTTTTTGGGCCAAAACCAATGACTGATTTTTAAGGAGCTTTTAATGGATATCGGCTGATACCGATCCGATTGCCAATATGTGGGCAGGAGCACAGCCTGGCAGTGTCTGGCTGGTAAGTCTGCTGTGGGGGGAAGGATGAAGGGAGGGAAGGGGCATGGGGGCGGGGGCAGACTGAGGCCCCTCCAGTGAGGGAGGGAGTGCGGTCGGAGCTGGGTCAGGGCACAGGATGGAGCCGTGAGCGGCTCGTCTGGAGGGTGCAGGAGGTTCCCAATGCTGTATGCACACCAGGAGCACATGGGGGCCGTGTGCTCCTGGATCTGCACATGGGGTGAGGGTGGGCTGCCACTGCAGGCTGGGGCTGCACCGGGCAGTGCTGGGGGTGGGTGATAGTGGTGCTGGGAGGGGGGCATTTATTGGTGACATTATCAGCCACATCAGCCAAAAAAAGCTGATTGCTGATACAGTCAATTTTCCTTATGTTGGTGCCAATCTGATATGGGACCAATGTATCAGTGCACCTCTAGAAAATGCATAGTCCTACATGAGCAGTCTGTATCAGATGTCCATTCCAACTGTCATTCTGGACTGGCCGCCATAAATTTGAACAGGGCTAGCTAACTAGAGGCTTTTGGGGTGCGTGTTGCAGTGACCAAGCTCCTGCCCAGCCACTGCTTCCTACATTGGTCTGGCTTCTACAACAGCTGGAGTCTCTGGCTTCCTCCTTTGGCTGACACTTCCTGCCTCCAGAGGGTGGGGCAGGGCAATGCAGCATGAGGAACCCAAGGTGCATCAGGGGCTGAGAGCTGGAGGGGAGGGTGGGGACGGGGGAGTAAGGGGGACACCCACATGGTGCAGTGGGAGGCAGGGAGCGCCCTCATGGGTGTGTGGTACTGTGGGGGGTAATGAGGGTGTCCCACAAAGCATGCAACCTGGTGGCCTGTACCTCACCCGATGCATCCCACATGGTATACTGCCCCAGGGGCTTAGAAGTTGGACAGCCCTGAATTAAAATACAGAAACAAACTTTTTTTACCCCTATCCCCAGATTAGCTAATATGATACACACCTAACAGTTGGCACCCCAGTACTCTGATGTTAAAAAAAAAAGTTCCCTGATACCACAGCCCTTTGCTCTGCAGACCAAAAACCTGTCAACTGACACATTTCTCATGTTCACCTTGAAATCAATGGTGCTTGGTGGAAAGGCATGGGTCCAGTCCCTCAGTTTCTTACCTTAACCCAAAGTTAGACACACCATGTTTCCTTGCCTCTACTTCGTTCCTTGTAAAGAACATATAGCCTGTGGGCTGGACCTAGCCCATGGAGCCCCATAATCCAGCCCCCAGTGCTGCCCCATTGACACACATGCTGCACTGGACCAGCCCCGTGTGCAGTGCCCAGGACGCTCTGCAGCCCTGGTAGGTATGGATCTTGGCAGCAGGGTCTGAGCAAGGGCTGTGCTAACACAATCCTGATCACCCTGTGGCCACTTGGCCTACCACCACTTGCCCCTCTGCTCTGCCACAGCAAACAACTTTCTGGCACACAGCCACTTGCCCCACGGCTGCAGCTGCCATCACTGCCACAAGCTCTGTGATTGTTACTGTCATCATTGTTACTACTGTGGTTGCCACCACTGTTGCTGCCAGCCCCAGATCTGGCCCACCAAAGAGTTCTGCAGTTAGGATCCAGACCAGGGCATGGAGTGAATTTGACACCCCTGATCTAAGGCCTTGCAACATTGACCACAAAGGATAAATTTGAAACTGAAAGTAAAACTGATGTTTAATTCTGAGTGAAACAGAAACAGGAGTAATGCATACAAAATGCCAAACAGAATACCTGATCTGGATGTATCTTCGTGTGAGCCACAGGCAAAATCTGAAATAGGAAAGTCCCATTACTGGAATGGAGTATAAACCTTTTCCCCTACTAGCCCCTGAGATTTATCATACAGAAAAGAAACAATAGACGGTGTTCATATATCATGATACTATGATTACGTATTCATTAACCACTAGTGAATCGCACTACAACAGTCCTTTCTTGTAAAATGGGGATAATGCTTACCAATCTACAAACACTCCCTGAGACTTGATGGAAAGTCAATGTATTACTTGGATTTGAGAGAGGGTAACAAGCCCAACTTTCAAATAGTAACCTTAGTTCCAACATTTCAGATACTTAAATGAACTTCTATGTCACTGAAAGCAATAAAGTTTGAAAAAGACGAGATGCCAAAGATATTTTAAGTGCTATTACAAATTTAACTAAATTACTGCCTAGATGTTGTATGGGAGGCAAAGATTTTGAGTGATATCTAGGCAGACCTAGGTATTGGACCAACTGTAGAGCGGTCCAATAAAATTTGATCTAATACAATATATTATTATTTTAATCAATCCTACTTGCAATGAAATGGGAAACATTTTGGTTTAATACAAACTTATTGCTTACACATTGCAAAAATAAATGCAACAGCTCCATAAATGCATGTACATATGCTATTTGGACAGCTGGTACTTCCACTATTGGTATTAATATTATAGCACTCTGAACTAACACGTTACATCATTTTCCATTTCTAGCAGATCAATAATGCAAAATGCCTAAAGGATGGGAACCATACTAACCCTTAATAAAAGCAACTCCTGCTCCAAAGAGTTGACCATGGGTGTTATATTAAAGAAAACCAGGGTACGTATGGGAAAGAAGACATACTCATGGCTAATCTATGTATTGGTATTAGTTAAGGCTATGTGAAACAGGAAGTGGTGCAATAGATGGAGTCTGTACCTAAGAGGGAAGCACAGCCCTGCAGCCACTGCTGTTCCTCCAAGGATTCCCACACCAGGGTACAAAGCCACCTACTCCTGCAGTCCCTTCCACCAGCCCAGCAAGGAACTTGGGGGATGAGCCTGGTTGAAAAGCCAGCTCCGCATCCACCTGCCTGTCCATGGCAAGCATTCTGCTCAGAGCAGTCAGCACAGGAGCTGACAAAGGGTGGAAGGGAACAGCCATGGGTGTCCCTTATCCCTGGGACTATGGGGTGGGCTGGGGAGGAGCAAGCAGTGCACTTACTGCTTTGCCCAAGGGCCAGATATCACAGTACTCCTGACAGGGTCTCACAGGACCCCAGGGTGCTTCACTCCCCAGTTGAGAATCACTGCTGTAAAGGAAAGAACAATTCTTCAATAAAAATGAATGTGGTTTCCATTCTTCAATGTGCTGTACAATTTGCAACTTTATTCTTTCAAATCCATCTTCATTGGTCTCTGATATGGCTTCTAACACATTCTACCTGATTCGATAAGCTCGCTCTTAATCAAGTTGCAGGCTTAGTTCTGTCATCACTTAGACCAACACTACAGTATACCTAACAGGCACAACTGGACAGCTTTGGCAACACTGTTCTCTCGTGGCTCTCTATTTCTTCAGCAACTTGTGGTGGTTTTGTCTTTTTCCTCCTCATCCTAAATTTCCAAGACTCCATCTGTTGCACCACTTCATGTTTCACAGCTTTAACTAGTATCTTTCTCATGTGTTCTGGTGTCTCCGCAACCCCCCCAGCACGCCCCACCCCATGTACCATATACGTGCACTTTTCAAAATGTGCACATATATCGTCCCACTTTTCAAAATGGTGGTGGAGGCACTTGAATTAAAGCTCCCTGAATGAGCTTTAGTACAAGCTTTAATTAAACTAAAGTGCCCCCACCACCATTTTGACACTTGGGATGCTGAATCCATGGCACACTGAGGCATGCTGGAACGGTCTAATTAATCAATTAATTGAGACTGCTCCAACGTGTTCTAATCAGAACATCTCAGAGCACGTGTATAGGCATCCTTAAAGGCTGCCTGGTTCCTGCAGGCAGTGGTGGCAGGCGTGTGATAAGCGGGGAGCTCCTGCAGGCAGCGTGGCACTGTTGGTGGGGGCTGGCAAGCGCTGACCAGCGGTTGTACACCACCTACAGCGGTGGTGGCGGTCAGTGGAGATTGTGGATCACCTGCAGATGCCACCAGTGGCGATGGGGGGGGGGATTGTGAGCAGTGACCACCTGTGGGCACCACCAGCAGTGCCTTTACGCAGGGGGTAGACCGCCATACTCAGAGGGTGCACACACACCCACTACGCGTCGCCAATGGGGAGGTCCAAACTGGGACTTTGGGGGTGTTAGTGAGATAATAAGGAGCAAGCTTGTGAACAACTCGGAGAGTGACTGCCCCTGCCTGCCCGGGGAGGGGCGCAAGGACCCCTCCGCGTGGTGCAGCTCCGGGGACCGGATGGCGGGGGGTGAGCGTGGGTGCAGAAGCACTGGAGACCTGGGGAGCAAACCCAGGAGGAAGCTGGGCCGGGCCGGGCCGGAGGGAGGGGAAGACAAATCGCAGCGGGGCAGCCGCGGGGCAGCAGCAGCCACCAGCAGGCAGCCGGGGGCGCGGGGCCGGGCCGGGCCGGAGGGAGGGGAAGACAAATCGCAGCGGGGCAGCCGCGGGGCAGCAGCAGCCACCAGCAGGCAGCCGGGGGCGCGGGGCCGGGCCGGGCCGGAGGGAGGGGAAGACAAATCGCAGCGGGGCAGCCGCGGGGCAGCAGCAGCCACCAGCAGGCAGCCGGGGGCGCGGGGCCGGGCCGGGCCGGAGGGAGGGGAAGACAAATCGCAGCGGGGCAGCCGCGGGGCAGCAGCAGCCACCAGCAGGCAGCCGGGGGCGCGGGGCCGGGCCGGGCTTGGCTTGGCGCGAGGTCCCGGGAAACGGTGCTAAAGCCCCGGCCCGCGGAACAGGTCTGCAGGGCCAGTAGCCGCTTGGGCCCCAGAGAAGGCGCCAAACCCTAACTTAGCGCTGAGCCCCTCGGGCGCTGCCAGAAGGGAGCGTTGTCCAGCAGTCTACCCGCACACGCGTGCGTGGCTGTAGAGCGCATTCAAAGTGGCCCGTGGCGCAACAAATTATCCCTTATTTGAGGAGGGGTTAGATGAAGGTATTCATTCCACTTCGGACCGTCTTAAGCTGGTAGTTCCCAGTCTGCGGTAGGGGCAGGGCCGTTGCGCTTTGGGGGGCCCAGTGGATCCAGGCGGAGTGGCTCTGGCTACCCGGCACCGCCACTGCTGGCTTCACGTCCAGCTGCTCACTCTCCCCCACCCCCGCCAATGGCGACAGTGGCTTCTTCGCAACCAGGGCACATGAGATCGGAGTGGCGATGGGGCCCTACATGAGATGATTTGCCCCGGGCTCTGCACCCCGCTCAGGTTGGCTCTGGGTACGGGTAGCACCAGTGGTATGCAGATACCCTGTCAGTGGTGCACATGCACAGTTTTATTATAATGACTTTATATGCCAAAAATTTGCTAGTGGTACTTAAGGCTGAACTGAAAATTTTGCTGGTGGTACATAAAGTTGTGTCATTTTTAAACTGGCGGTGCACAAATCAGTCTGAGTTTGGGAACCGCTGCCTTAAGCAACTTCTGTTCCCCAGGGTCAAGCTACCCGGCCTCCCCTGCCCTGGTGCTGTCTGCAGGAAGAGAGAGGGGAGCGGGAGCCCGGGTTAGAGTTTGCAGGCCTGAGCTGGAGAGGGAGCAGATGGATTTAAGCACCCGCTCTGCCTTGTGGTCCCCCAGCTTCAGTTCAGGCTGGACAAACTGCAGCGGGCAGCTCCTGTTCTCTCCCTTCCTGTAAAGTGCCATAAGTTAGAGCAGAAACCTGTATGTCTGTTAGCCATCCTCTGCTTTGTCACAGCGTGAGCATCCCCCACCAGCTCCTGCAGGCCCTTCCCTGCCTTTGCTGCCTTGCTAGCTGCTGTGCTCTCTGCTTTGGGGAAGGAAGCGTGTCAGTAGCACTTCAGGGTTTTTGTGGGTGACCTCTTTTTTACTGGACTAGCTGCATGGTCAGGATCTGGGGTTTTGAGGGGTGCAGATGGGGAGGTGCCTTATCACCCCCCTCCCCATGTTCCAATTTCTCATCATCTTAAAATTGTATTTTGTGGCTGATCCTCAATTCCTTTCACACACTATACTTTCAGGGACATCCCTGGGTAGGGTGTGAAGGGTCATTCACGTCTCAGTTCATGCTGCTTTGAAGTTTTCCTATTGTCTCACATCAGTTGTTCACAGAATAGTGCCTTGGTAATTTCACTTGAAGTCAATGCTTGTCCCTTCTTTTACTTTATACTTTGCAATACTGAACCCAGCAAATTTAAATGAGCTAATGAATTTTAGAACACTGCTCTCATACTTACTAACTTTTGTTTAAAGTCCTCCTTTTATTGCTCTGATTCATGTACACTTGAATAATCACTGCCCTACAAATGTTTCTTAAGTGGGCTTTTTCAATGCTGGGCCTTGAAAATTTTTACTCCTCCGAGTTAAAAAGGAGCAGGCAGAAATTACCAAACTGATACGGGTAGCATGAGCATGGTGTTTTTATGAGAGCTGACTGGTCTCATGGAACTGGTTCTTTTTCTAGGGTCCAGCTCAGAGGTTGTCTTCACTGCAAAGCTCTCTTGAATTATGACTTGACTGATGCCCCTAAAGCAAATCCTGTGCATCCACAAGTATGAAGATGTTTTTAACTTGAATTGGCTGGGCTGTGAGGGAACTGGAGCTGCAGCCCATATATCATATTCCACATTCTCAGTTTTTATTTAAAAAATAAATAAATCCAGGAATTTTTCAGGGCTTATCTTCCAAACATAAAAACCGGGATGAAATCAGGATAAAAGGAAGAAAACTAAAAAAATCAGCTGAAATCAGGGAAAAATTGGTGGGGAGGGAGGGAGGGAGGAAGGCTGGGACTAGGGAAGGGGCGGGGGGAAGGGTGCAGCGCAGCCCGTTGGCTGTTTCCGAGGCTGCGGGGAGCAAAGCAGGGAGAGCTGTCAGTGGGTGC